GTTCTCATGGCATATGCTGGGTTTAAGACGCGCTCTTTTTAGCAGTTCAAAGATACAACAGAGCATTGTCTAGAAGTGAACTTCTATAGATAAATTTGAAAACAATAATTGTTTTTATTTCCTAATCCCCTCTTCAGTTATACTAATTTCATGGATACCAAGAATTGTGGGCTTCGTGAACTTAATTTTAATGTTATTACATCCTATTTTTATTTAATTTTATTATTCCTTATTCATATATATGTAATGAAACTGGAAGAAGCTCATTGTATTAAAATGGCGTAGTAGATGGGTGTATTAATCAAAAACTTGCAAATGTGACCGAATTCAAAGATTTTTTTTATTTTTATTTATTTATTTATTTATTTATTTATTTATTTATTTATTTATGGTTGGCGTGAATTTTTTTTTAATCCAACAAAAATCCCATCGGCACTACAGCGCCTCATTCTTAAAGAACGTTTTACATTGGATAAGCTTGAAAAATATATTTTTTGAAGGCAGTAAGTAGGTAGCAGCATGCTGCTACAGCAAAGCGGAAGAGAGCAAATAGAGGCGAACAAAGAGCGGCGACCGAAGAAGAGCGCGAGATTGCGCAGCAAAAGGCTTTTTTTTATACCAAGACATGATTACATTAAACAGATTACATTTCGGATCACATTACAAGAATGTTTATATTAAGCGAATTAAATTTCAGATTAAATCTGTCCGAATGTCCACCGCAGAAATTTAAAAATTTGAAACTACACCTTGGTCTGTTGGTTGGATTAACAAAGTTGTTCGGCGACAAGTAAATCACTTCTATAAGAATACATGCTGTTAAGTTTAAGAAATGCGTCAAAAGGCTTGGAGCATTATCAATCAAAAATAATGTTTTCCTTTCTAGTTTTATAAATTCTAAATAGCGTTTAATAGACGGGCAAAAATTTTCGGTAAATCCAATTCTCAAAATTTTTTATAGCTATTCAACGCTTTTTATAGTACTTCCAAATTACTGGATTTTGAAATTCCCTTCGATGCTCTTGAGATTTTGAAACGATGAATAAATAAACAGTGGTTTAAATTTAAAGTCTCCATTCTTGACGCTTTTCTCTTTATTAATAACGCTGTTTATATTTACAAACGCCAGTTTCTATGTTTCGAGAAAGTTTTTAGATTATAAGCAACTTTTGATCCTAAATTTCCTTACATTCCTTACATATCCAACTACAGGTGTTCTTTATTTTTAAAAATATAACTTATTGTGAAATAATAATTCTGAAGAGTTTCAAACATTCTACTTTTTTATTAAAAAGTAAATCGTCTTAAAAGTGTATAAACGCCCCTGTACTGTGTAAAACGTTTTGCAATTTAGAATTTCTCGTGAAGGAATGAAATTAAACTTGGAGTACTAGAAGGAATTCTGATACCATTTCCATTTCTAAATACCATTTTGATATTTTGGATGATGAAAACCAGATGAATAAGAAAAGCAGAACCAGTTTTGATGAAAATGCAAATAACACATTCAGGGAAAAGCAATTTCAATGGGTGACTCGACTGCATTGCTTGGTTTACAACTCTCACTTCAAATTCCCTATCATATTCCATCCCAAGCGTGGTGGTGTGTGTGCCAGTTTTGACAAGTAGCCGTGGCAGCACAATCACCCAACAGGGCCTCTTTCATTCTCAAAGAGTAGCCATCCCATTAGTATTCTGAGCATGCTATGTCGTGGGATTCTTGATTTTGTTTATTAAAGTGCGCGTAGGCGTTCGACTTCGCTGAAGGGGGCACCCAAGGATGACGGATGACCGACGGTCGAGAGCGACTTTTCTTGTCTTAAATAAAAAATTAAATAAATAAATAAAAGGCTGCGTATTTGTCATCTGTAGCAATCGGGTGGATGCTTGAAACGGGCGAGCTGTCTTTAGAAATGATTATTTCCTATCTTGTTTGTTTGTTTATTTAGGGAAAATGCAACTTGCTTCCCATTTGTTTTCCCCTTCCTCAAGAAGGCCCTTAATAATTAAGCTTCGAAATGCTATCAAGGAATAATATGTGCTGAAATGGTAAGTAGGTTGTTTACAAGAAAAGACGGAAATATTCCCTGCCAGGGTGACTAGACAGAAAAATATTTCATATTAATTTATGTAAAATAAAGGTACCAGATCTCGAAAAATAAAGTTCTAAATTTATATTTACTTTCCTTTTCACTCCTTCAGACCATTTAATGATATTATTTTTGTTATCATAAATGAGTCGAAAAGTAAAATTGCCAAATTAACGAATGTTTAATAAATAAAAAAGAAAAATGTCAGAAGTCACTTCAATAACAGTATAAAGCTTATAGCTTATGTTATTTAATTTTGCTATTTGCATACAGAGATTTTAGTTATTCAACGTGCAATTTAAATACAGATATTCCATTTATTTAATATGTTAATTAGATATACTTTTCGATACAAAATACTGGAAATATCTACCATTGTTTTTGACAGATTTCGCTAAATTAGCTAATTTGCTTAATATTCTCATTCTAACGCTGATTGTTTTTAATTTTTTCTTGTCAAAAAGAATTTATTCTTTAGTGGAATTTGTAGCTAATTTCTTTTCTGCTTATTATTCATTGCTGCTGCTAGGAAAATTCTTTTATTTGTTGCTGATGAATGATGGACACAATGTAGGTTTAACTAATATTGTTACATTTAGAAGCATATGTTCCCCTAATTTTTTTTCCTTTCAAAAATTTTATTCCAAAAAGACATGAATTATTCACATATTTCCACTGAGTCTATATTTCTACAAGATGGCATTATCCATCAAGATCTCATTGTTATCTTTTGAAATAAGATCAGGGCTGTGGAGTCGATAGGAAAAATGACTGACTCCGACTCCTGGAATTTTAATGATTCCGACTCCCTCATATATATACTATGTAAACATATATACTTGGGCTACAGCTTATTTTTTTAATATAAAAGAAGTAATAGATGCTACAGAAAAAAAAATTGATGGCATAGTAAATAATTTATTATGAAAGGGAAAAACTGGCATTAGTTATTTCTAAGAAACCGTATAGCTTCGGCAAGGTTTTCTTTGTTGGATGGCCATAGACCCCATTTGATAAACTGTAGAGCTGAGAAGAGTCTTTCCACACTAACTTGAGTAGGAGGAAGAGCTGTTGCTGTTAGGGCTACTTCGTTTAACTTTTCAGGACAAATTTTTAGCAGTTCTAAAAGAGGTGTCTTGCAAGCGCAATCATACTTCTCTATTTCTTCAAAGGCTGTGTAGAAATCTTGTTTGCATTTTTTAATTTTTATATCTAAAAGGCTCTTGTTTTTTATTTTCATTCGCTTTGCCTTAGCCTTTTCAATATTATCCAAAAATATTTTTCAAAATCTAATTCATCAATGGAAAAGGTGATAGAGACCCAATTGCAATGTCTGCAGTTTGATTGTCCTGATTCGAATTCTCCAATTGTTCTAAGAATAATTTCATTCTTAATGAAAGTTCATAGATGACTTTCTTTGCCTTTTTAATTTGTTCGTCATCCAAGAAAATTCAGTGTTTCGGATCTCCATATATTGAAACCAGCAAGATCTCATTGTCTAGCAAACTAATTTCTCTTTTCTTCATTGAAGAAATGATTCCTTCTGCAATAAGCCCTCCATTTCAGAAGGAGCAAACATCTCATTCTCGCCTCCTGTCAATTCTTCAGATTGCAGCTTTTTTGTGGCTACATACGGTATGGAAAGAACAGTTGCCAACTCTGCAAGATCATTCCACAGTCTTTCTGTTAGTAAACATTAGGGTTATCTACATCTCCTAAAAAAGTTCTTAATTCTAAAAACCTCTTTGTCATCAAATATGTACTTCCTTATCGATTGCTTTTCATCATAATTGTTCCTTTTCCTGCTCGCTTCCTAAAATGCATCAATTTAGAGTTTCTGCTGCTTACCTAAATCTATCAGTGAGATTTGTACTAAATGAATCAGTTTAACACTAATAGAAATATCACATCCATCCTCCTCCCTTATATTTATTTATTAATAGGTCAATAAAATAGAAAATACTTATATTTAAGAACAGTGCATAAATAAAAATATTAATTCAGCTTGTCATTAATGTTTTTTCAATTCATTTTAATTTCATTTCAAATTCAAACTGTCCAATGAAAACTGGAGTCGGAGTCGACCTGTTTTTAGCGACTCCAGCTTCCGACTCCTTTTACCCCAAAATCTGCCCGACTTCAACTCCACAACCCTGAATAAGATTTAGAAAATTCAGAGCTAGTGGCACTCTAAAGTAAAAACACTCTGATTTGCAAATTTCAGAATTTGGCATCCCGTAAGTTTTATTTATAATGTCAATTGATCTGTCCCGTTGTTAACGCGTTAAAAGAAGTTTATTGTTTTTATTGTTTTTTAGGTCCGCCTTTCCTCTCCTTCTCTCTCTTCCTCCCCTCCTGGCAATTAAATGCGCTCGGCGCAAGCGCATTTTTGTACCACTCGGTAATAAGTAAAATTAGATGGCTGCTGTGTTTTTAATATTGAAATCTTGCGATCTACTGTGGCGTAGGAAGCAAAAGCATTGTGACAGTTTCATACGTTCTCTCAAAGGGCTCTTTTTGGTCAACGTCCTATCAAACCCATGAACCTAATTCTTTTTTTCCTGGAAAAAAGGGGGGATTTCACTCCCTCACCCAATCTACACAAGTTTCTAATCAAAATATTTTTATCACTTCATCGTTGTTTTTCAGTGTTTTGCATTATGCCACTGAGATGCATATAAAAGGAATGCTATGTATTCAGAATTTTACAAAAGCATTCTCTTAAAAAGCTTTTTTCAAGAAACAGATTTTGAAGATTCATGCTCATGGAGTTGCCTTGACGATATTGTTAGTATCTATAAAATAGTTCATATCATACAAAGTTTTCAGCTTTAAAAATAAATTAAGGTTATAAAAATAAAAACGGAAGAAGAAAGAAAGAAGGGATAGAAATATTAAAAAAGGACATACCTGTGTGAAGATGATTTTGGTGCTGATCACATTCCTTTAAATTGCTATTCAAGCTTCTTCTACGTATCTCACTTGAGAAAACCACACTACAGAAGATAAAAAAAATAAAATTTTAGCTTATTCTGTAGATGAGATAAAAAAAACTTTTTCTCTCGCTCTCTCTCTATATATATACGAGTATATATATATATATATATATATATTTATCAAGCAAAGCAGTATAACAATTTGGTCAAGAAACATCTGCGCAATATACTGCAAAATATTAAAAATAAAAATTGTAGAAAGCTCGCTAAAAGTTACCAAGCTGCTGCCCAAAAGGTTAAAGACGTTTTCAAAATTAATACACATGAAAAGCAAATCATTAGACATGTAAAACATAAATACAATAAAATTAAATAACAGAAAAAAGTTAAAAGTAAGCGGAAAATGGTAAATTAGCCCAATTCGACATCCAAACAGGCTTTTCAAGGGGGCGTAATGGGGTTAGCTTGATTCGACGTTCAAATAATTGAAATTTTCCCTTGAAAAGCCTGTTTGGATGTCGAATTGGGCTAATTCACCATTTTCCGCTTACTTTTAACTTTTCTGTTATTTAATTTTTATTGTATTATGTTTTACATGTTCTAATGATTTGCTTTTCATGTGTATTAATTTTGAAAACGTCTTTAACCTTTTGGAGCAGCAGCTCTTGGTAACTTTTAGGCGAGCCTTCTACAATTTATATTATATATATATATATGTATTATGTACACATGTAATAAAAAATAAAGCATTGTGCTTATAGAAAACATTTTTGTTATAAAAATCACCGAAGTAACAACCTTATAGATGAGAAACGAACAGGTATTTAAAAAAATGGAAAAATGTGCTTCTATTGCTCCTGTGACGCTGAATATTTGAAACTGTGGATGTGAGGTTATGCTGTTGTTTACGTTTTATTTTGTATTTGTTTCGCAGTCATATATGTATGGCGTATAAATGCTGCTACCATTTTAGTAAAAAATATCGCAGTGCTTTTATTTTAATCGTCAACATTTCACTTTCGAGAAACTTATCACGCACTGATATTCGGATTAATGTTCGCGGCATATTATAGCTCTTCTTATCCTGAAAATGACGCAAGATACAATTAGCCGATAACGAAAATATTATGCGTTTACTAACAAACCTTAGGATTGAGAGAATTCAAGAGTACAATTTTTTTTTATTGAGAATAACATGAAGGGTTACAATGAATCTAGTATTTTCTTATTTCAATGCTTGCATTCCTTTGATTTTGAAAACGTAAGATTCAAAATATATATTGTGAATTATCTGTTTATACCTATGATAAACATTAAAAGTTATATATGAATAAATTAAAATTATTTGTTGCGAATGAGTAAATTTCTCTTTGAAGAGCATTTCTTGTGCAGGCAATACATTTAAAAGTGAAGAGTTATTAATGTGAAATGTAGCACACTAAACGTGTAGGAATGCAAATTAGGAAAATTCACTTTGAATAAAACTGCGCATTGGCTATTATTATAGAACAACTTTTTAATATAGACTGCAATAAAAATTGCTAAGACTTCTAATATTTACGTATTAAATTATGCTTATATTTGATCTAATTCCGCACTAATTTTAACAAGAAATACGCAATGCTTTAATTATTTTGTGCAGGAAATTGCATGGCAAAACATTTTCAACTATCTTCCTTAAAGATCATGTGAAATGACATAACTATTACTGGAAGCCCATTGGTCCATTCTAGAAGCCATTCCCTAGGTGGCTATATCGATGTGTACGTAACGAAATATGCCGCCCGGCATGCCAGTTAACCGTTGTAATAACAGCTGCGGCACATGATCGAATCTTCTGATTGATTCTCCCCCTTCAACTTCCATTTCCATTTAGAGCCTTTCGCTTTGCGGAAAACGCACGGATGGAGGCTGGCTTGACCCTCAAATGAAGCGGGGATAATAAGTGTTGTGCGGTGATGATGATTCGCGTTATAATAAAAAATAAGAGAAGGAATAAGTGTGTATTTTAAAGTAACAGAGTATAATGCTCGTATATCTGCTATAGGAATATGGCGAAAAGAGTGCCGGATTATCGGATGTGCCGCACAACAGGACGCTGTATTATCACATTTCTATTCTATTTCTAATTTAACACTTTAGATTTCCGCTTGACACCGGAAAAGTACACTTGCAACAAAAAACGTGTGAGCCCATCAAAATGTCTGAATTAATAAATTTACTTAATACTCGTACTTAGAAATATTAAATTCCGCATATTAGATATATGATTTAGGGAAATAACTTGAAGTCCATAAAATATAACGACAGGAAAACATAGTTATAAATAAAAAATGTAATTCCTATAATTAAATTACTAAAGATAACAATTAATAGCAAGAATTAATTATATCACAGCACTAAAAATTTATTACCTGCATAAAGGAAGAAACGCTTTCGTAAACGACGTTTTAATTAATATGCATTTAACGTTAACCTAGGAATGTTCTACGAAAACACCTTACAGATAGCCCTTTCAGATGTCGAGAACCAAATACACGAAGAACTGCTTATATTTCTCGACTTGTTCGTGGGGAAAACGCAGACATAGATGTTAAATATTGCACGGAAATCTATTTTTTCATACGGTGAAACTCTGATCTTACATTCCTGCATTTTACGCTATATGCATATTTAATTAGAATATTCCGCTTCATACGTCTTCTTCCCGTCGTATTTTATATATTTTCAGAAACCTTAAGGAATTCGTGCAGTTTTAGAAGTTCGGAAGCCCAAATTCAATAACTGCGAGTATCAGCAGTCCCATTTAGATGAAAATGGGTTTCATCTTCCCATAGAATTCTCCACGGCCAAGCATCGTCGATCTCCATCCTGGAAAGAAATGTCACAGCAAATGCTACCCGTTTATCATAATCGTTGTATTTTAATGCCTGCACGTAGGTAACTTGTATGGATAGAAAAAAGAACTTTCTAAAAGATTTACCATACCGTTGGAAGGTTCAAATCCAAATGCCGCTCTATTTGGGCACTGTTATTACGAGGAATGAATGGTCCCTTGGGTACCGTCAACAACTGCAGTCGCGACATCAGTAATTGTCTGTTCTGACACGGATTTTCGCCTTCCGCACTCTGCCAAACCGAACTACTAAGGATCATGTTTCTTCAAATTTCTGAATCATGTGTTAATCTATAGATGACTTTCGGTGCATTAATCGATAGAAGGCCTTTAAGTAGGCTGTTGCGACTTCTAAATCTACGAAGAGAGGCGGTTACGTTCAGTTGAAGAAGATAAAACAATTTCATCAGCAGCTTGCGTTGAGGTAAATTGAGAGACTGAATTACTAATGCTTCTGTAGTCTACGTAATTCGCTTTTCAAGTTTTATATGCGTTTTATGCAAATTTTGAGTTGTGTAGACTAAAACTGTGCCATATTTTTCCCTAACGGCAACTTTCGGAAACTATTTATTTTCACGTAATCTATCATCTTACGTCGCCATTATTCCCTCGAAATCGGGACTTCGAATTGCTAGATGGGTATACTGATTAATATACTAGAAAGACTGACGGGAGAGATGCGTTTAATTTATTATAGGAAAAGCGAGATCCAGTCGGCCTAATAAAGGAGGTGATGGATTATTGTCATTTTATTTCAAGCGTCACAAAAGATTGTGCAGCACTCTACCGATTGTGCAAAGCGTGCATTTGTACCGGGTAGTGAGATTTCAGGAACCGCAAAACTGCCTTATAATTAACCAATATATAGTTAACTGAAAAAAGGGCGACTAAATATTTTTCTGCATGAGGCGCCAAAACTCCTAGAGTCAACTTTGAGTGCCACTATAGAGTCATTACGAGTTCGTGATCTTGACAAATCAACTGTGCCCTTGCCAGGACCCGAAAGTGAGACTTTTTAGTTGTCGGCTGGATATGCTAACTGCTACATCACAACAGCATACAGGAAAGATGTCCTCAATTGCTTACAACTGCAAAACTTCGAAAAGGAATGAGGACATTCATCTTGACAAAACAGAGTACTCCAAAGGAATTTTATACTCTTTTATAAAACAAAATGGCCAGAAACTCGTTTTGTTTGCATATCTGATGTTTCTCACAAGGTTTTCTCACTTTTCCTCCAGTTAGTTTTATTGCAACTTGTCCCCCCCTCAAATAATAATAATAATAACATCTAATAATAGTAATAATAATACTGACGATTTTATTTTCCGGAGTTAAGAAAAAATTATTAATAATCTTTCTCTAGTCTTCAGACGTTAAATAGCCATTTACTGAAGGCAATTTCTTAAAGTCTGGCAATTAGACTGAACAGCAAAATTCATTACAAAATTCTTGTTAAAAGCTTGACGTAGCTCTGAGCGCCACTATTTCAGTCAAGGTATGAAACGCTCCGGATCAGGAAAGTGTTGGGCAGAAGTTCAATTGTCACCACTACCTAAAGTCTTTGACCAAAGGTGATATTCACCCAATATGTTTGACAGTTTACTGACATTTGATGACGGCAACAACAGAAAATCTCTCACTTCCTCCCAGACAACCTTTATTTCTAACTTATTCAATAAGAGTAATAGAAAATAACAGCCGTCTGGTGTTAAAAAGAAAAGTCAATTCGGATAAAAATCCAATTAAAATTAGTTTATTAGGCAATCCAAGGAAAAATAGCAATAATAATCAAATTCCTGATTCTGAAAACGACGACCTCGCTGAAAATCTGCATCTAACTAAATTGGATACGACAGTCATTACTCTCTTTCTCGTATTTCCTAGTCATTTCCGAGTTCCCTAATAATGCGTAGGAAGCACAAAATCTTTTCTTCGACAACGAAGCCTGCTCGCGACACCCACCAGCTTTATGCGTAATTCATTAAGCAAACAAGTTGTTCCTTGAAAGTTTCTTGATAACAGAAATTCATTTTCATCTAATTAAAATAATATATCATTTGGTTAGTTTAAACCGCCGACAGGTATGAAACGAAATGTAAAAATCATTAACGGCCGTAAATAACTGATCAATTTCCATCGCATACTAGTGCATAATGATTAA